CTCCCTCCATTTTAAAATCATCAAAGCTACCAAAATATATGTAATCGTAATTCCACTCCTCACCACTATACATCTCCAATTCATTATATTACGCCATTCTCTTACTAAAGATCCAAGTTTGACCAACCATTTATTGGTATTGTTCCGTCTTCCTATAACTTCTTCCTTTTCTAGTAGATCTTTTTGGAGAATCTCAACTATTAACTTTCCACGACAACTTGGACACGTCGGCATTGGTCTTAATAATTTGATTTGCGTCAGCCTTGAATTTAAAGTTTGACCTGGAAGAGTCCGCGATATTCCCGTCAATCCTGTAGTGTACCATCGGAACATACAGGGTCGATGGGCTACATGATGAGGAACACTACAATAATTTTCTAGAATCCCTAACGAATCCTCATCCACAATTTCATCATTATCCTGATCTGGATAAAATGATGTCGCACTAGAACCCACGCCAACACCATAACATACACAACAATCTTCATCTTTTGTACCTTCTGGGGCGGGACATCCTCGAATGGTGAAACATGTGGAATTACGAATGTGAACAAAATGCCTCAGAAGGAAAAAATGAATAAACTCTTCGATGAATAATGTAGGAAAATAAATCCAAAATAGTTTCGGAATTAATGCTATAAGAGGCGGAAGAGGTGTATCACGCGGAGAAAACAAAGACTATTTATAACATGTGATGATCAGTTCGTTATACTCTTTGATGTCAAATTTAAGAAATATGTACGTCTACCTTATACTTCAGCCATCGCAAAAGAGCGTATACAATCTGGAGAGATACATATGCAAGAGAGCGATAAGATACTGGTTATTAACGAACCCATCTATGTAGATAACTTATAATTTCACTAATATCAGGAGGGATCTTTTTTTTTTAAAGTCAGAGTTAAATATTACAGAAGTCCAATAGAATAGTTGAATCTAGCATGGCTCTTCGTTAATAGTCGACCAGTATTAATGTTCAGCACATCAAAAGTTTATTCAAATAATCTAATTATAATTTTTCATTGTAATCAAAATTCTACTCATTCGTACCAGCATATACCAGCATGCCATTATTTTTTTTTCATCTTCGGCAAGCCTCTTGCGAAAAATTAGCGGAGCTCCTCCACGCGCATTATAAAGCACCAGATAAGCTATCGCAAAATAAGAAAAATTGAATCAAGTTGAGTTTTGTTTCAAGTGTAACTTAAAAAAGTGAATTCCTCCTACCTTTAGTCCATGAACTACAGGCCCACGAAATGAAAACAATAAATTTAGCATAATCCCAGGATGGCATTGAAATTGTTTTAATATGAACCATTTAAAAGTGCTTCATATAATTTCGATTACTGGATTATCATACGTTGTACGCACCTACTACGTTCTAATACCTGTTGTACACGGTAAAGCTGGGGTCAAAATTTGAGGTTTTAAAAAAAATGTCGATAACTCAAAATTTCATTAAAATAACTTTCTTTCAGCTTTTAAATAAAAATGTTTAAAATTTAATTTTACATAGATTTTATTAAGCTAAAAATTGAAAAATTAATAAGTTAACAGGGCCAAAATGCTCGGGACAGTCAAATGTGTACAACGAATACTGACAAGCACCCTGTCATCGTATTATTAAAATCGGGCCAAATTCTGAACTCTACTCTTTAAACAAAGGCCCGAAAAATACCATTTTAAAAACCCCTTTTTATAATATTCCCAGGTAATGATTGAACTTGTGGCTCAAATAATTCATGAACTTGCCTTTGCTAGTCAGGATATGAGATAGATGTATTTGCCGTTATACAGTGGCGATCATAAGTAATGGAGCAAAAAAAAAATTTTACTTAGATCGCATTATTTCCCGCAATTCTGGGTGTATCCTTTTATTTTTTTTTTTTTTTTACTCATAAATGGTACTTTTTTTCAATGTTAAAATTTTAATATTCATTATTATTGCCAATGTAAAGATAATCGAGTATGTAGCACAAATCACGTGTTGCATTACTTTTGATCGTTTTTTACAACGATCAAATGATGGCCATTGTACAACGAAGGATCACTTGACCGGAAAATCTATTCTCATTTTTGCATTCTCGTGTTACAATAGAACTTAAATGACGTTCTAGCAAAAAAAAAAATAACATACGATTTATAACTCAAAAGAGCCCTAGTTTCTTCGTTGCTACAAAACCAGTGTACCACAAGGGTGGTAAGCTAGACATGTAATTTTAGTTCCTTCCTGGCTCTTCACACTAATAAAAGTGGTGGAGCTATCGTGTTTGCAAAAAATTAGTGAAGGTTTTGTCGTTTACCTGTCAGCAGTGAGCTAACCCAAGTGACGATTTTAAAATTGAGCCACCTACCTTTGCCATTTAATTGCCGTTGAAGTACGGTTTTATCGAAAAAATTAAAACATATTAATAATTTAAGTTTTTTTTTTTTTTTTTACATATAGAAATTACAGTTTGGTAATAGAGGTTAAATAAAAAAAGTTCTACCTGTATGAATATCGACGAAAACGTTGGTTTGAATTTGTAAAAATCGGTCTACCAAATACTGGTCTAGGTAATTTCATCTAAAAAGCTAAAATTCGAAATTTTTTGAGTTGGATAGTAAATAATACTATAGAAACAACTCAAAAAATTATTAATTTACTTTTAATATTAGAGATTTGGGACAGGTTTGTAAAGGTATAATGCTATATTAAATTTCGTGATATTAATAGCCTTTGCAAGGTCGACTACGGGATGAATATTGAATTATACTAATATATTTTTTATTAATATTTTATATATACCGTCATAGATTACGAGTTTGCTATTTAAAAAAAAATATATATAGAAAGATAACGATGTCAAATATAGCACGATACTTATAAGACATTAGCTTAGAAATAATTAGACAAAGATTTTAATTAATATCTTCGCCCTCTGAACTAATTCGTTTAAATATTTGTAGGTTAAGGATTCAACATCGGCTTGGAAATATTTAAGATGAATTTCAGGTGAAAAAAAATCTTTAGAGCAAGATCCAGGTGGCCTAGATGGGAATCAAAGCACGGACCTATATCGTCCGATCTATCTCAATGCTAGAACAAGTTCGTAAAGCAATCAAGGCACAAGGTGGATACACCATGTTGTGGTGGCCATGAAATATTAAAATAAAAAAAAAAATTTTTTTTTTTATATATAAAAAAAATTTTTTTTGTTTTATGATTGTGTTGCATTACGCACGATCAAAAGTAATGCAACACGGCAAATGAAATAAAGTTCGTTT